CTGCTATTCTGTTGTCCTGTTTTCTCGCTACAATATTACTCTATTTCCCTATTACCCCATTACCCTATCACCCCATTACCGTATTACCCTATTACCCCATTGCCCTGTTACCCCATTACCCTATTACCCCATTGCCCTGTTACCCCATCTGACAGTATTCTGGTACAATGCTCTGCAGGTGGTTTCAAGCTCTGAACGTTCACTTCCAAGTCTCCGGTATGTCAACATACATGTACAAACCGCGCGGCTACAATCAGACGCGCTATAACTCTGTACAGGCTCTGGCTCAGATCAAGGTAACACACACACACACACACACACGCACACATACACACACACACACACACACACACACACGCATACACACACACACACACACACACACACACACACATACACACACACACACGCATACACACACACACACACACGCATACACACACACACACACACACACACAGATTGCACTCGTGGAGTTTATATACTCTTGGCCCCAAGTACACACCACCAGGTTCATTGGTAGTCATAACGTACTGCTTGGCAAACGAGCGAAAGAGCAGCAAACCAGCATGATAGCTGCGTTGCTGCTTTGCCGCTACATACAGTCAAAGCATCTCAACCCATCATGTAGTCTCCATAGAAAGTATCTGAAGTGATGATGGTACCTCTATACAAACATCTTAGCCGATGATGTAATCTCTATCCCTAGCATCTCAACTGATGATGTTATCTTCATACAAAGTATTTGAGATTATGATGTAATCTTCACTGATGATGTAATCTCCGTGCGTAGCATTTCAACAGAAGATGTAAGCGTATACCGTAAGTCTACAAGTATTCGGCGCATATCTATTTTCAGCCTGATCATATTTGGCCGAAAATTTGTGTTTCAATGTTCAGTGTGACGGTGAGCAGGCAGCAGCAGTACAGGCTGAATATTTGTTGCAGCCGAAATGTGTTTTAGCGCTGGGAGGCTGAAATTTGAATGGGCCGAAAATTTGTAGACTTTCAGTAACCTATAGGCCGATTCATACTTCATGTCGCGTACGGGAAAGTCATCGCGCCACCGTCGCGCGATGGCTTTCCTGTACGCGAAATAGTTGAGCTCATGTCAACTTTTTTGCGACGCGACGCGTTTCCCGTACGCGAAATGAAGTGTGAATCGGCCTTAAGGCTGTTGTTGGTTGTACTGTACTGTGTACTTGTTACAACAGGCTGCTCTACACAGCAATGACTGTGCTCTCATCTATCACTGTACCAACCACTACATGTGCCCTATCGGCTATGAAGATACGCCCAAGACGTCCGCCTCGGCCTACAGGTGCGTTGCTAGGAGACCGATCGCCGCAGGTTGCTATCGGAGACCATTTTGAATTCAAACTTGCCCAGAGGACTAGATCAACTACCGATGCTCTGGGTGAAATTCGACACAAAATGCAAAGCCAGTGCCCTGAATCAGTACCCTGGATCAATACCCTGGATCAGTACCCAGGGATCAGTACCCAGGGATCAGTACCCTGGATCAGCACCCTGGATCAGTACCCTGGATCAGTACCCTGGATCAGTACCCTGGATCAGTACCCTGGATCAGTATCCTGAATCAGTACCTGGATCAGTACTCTCATACTATCACTGTATTTACAAAGCAGTAATTTGTGGCAAATTGCCAGCAAAGTGCTCGATGCACAAAGTGCATGAGAAAGGGGAAAACAGGCCAGGGTTGGGAGTCGTCGTAACACCGAGTTTCATGCTAACGCAACCATCAGAATACCGAAACCTGAAACCTGAAACCTGAGCCGGGTCAGTGTGTTTGTACATGTCCACATCCAGCGCATGGTATTCATACCTCTTCCTGGCTGGGCCATAGAAGTCCGGGTCATCAAATTAATATTTGCACTTTGGGTTGGATCTCACCTTGCATAGTCTAGATGTACGTGTAATTATTCTATGACCCAGTACCAGGGGCAGTAGTTATCAATGGTTGGTGACGGAATCCGTTGCAAGTCAATGCCTGCTCGTACGTGTAGATGTAGGTATGTTGGTGGGCAATTTTACGTCCCACTTTCTAAAAGGTGCATTTTCCATCCTTGTGGCTGCCGCTGCTGCTGCTGTTGGTACTTGTGGTTGTGGTTGTGGTGATGGTGGTGATGGCGTTGTCTCTCTTGTAGAGGTATTCTGTCAGAGAGTGAAGTGCGTACCTGGCTGATCATCGGCGATACCAGCAACTGCAGTCAGCCTCTACTTTCATGCAAGTGAGTCTCTACTTGACACTGGTCACGGCAATGATTAAGTTGTTGTGTTTGTCTGTCCGTTTGTCTGTCCCTTTGCATGTCCGTTTGTCTTGCTGTTTGTTTCTCTGTCTCTCGGTTTCTGCGGCTATCTGGCTCTCTCTTTGCCAGTCTGTTGAATCTGCGTGTCTGTCCATCTTGCAATCTGCGAACGTGGACGGTTTCCTGTATGTAATCATGCGCATGATCACTGAGATAATATCACTACACGTTTGTCTGTCTGTCTGTCTGTTTGTTTGTCTGATTCAGCAATAGCTTGATTGTCCACGCGATGACACGACTCAATTGTCTGTTTGTCTCTCTGTCTGTTTCTCTATCCGATACTGTTTCTTCACGGTATGCTATGCAGATGGGAGAATGTGGTCAAGGATCTTGAACTCAACCTACCCCAGTATTACAATATCAAGCAACCACACAAGGGCATACAGGCACGCAAGGGCGCTTGGCGACGGGGCGGCAACATCAACTGCATCATGCTGTTCAAACGATCGGCCGTGCAACGCAGTCGTCTCTATCTCAAACGACCGCTCACCTCCGTGAACTCCAACTCCGACGAGGAAGATGAAGCTGAAGCTGAAGCTGACGGAACATTGGAATCAGAATCCTCGGCTGCCGTTGCGCAGGCGGAATCTGCGGATGCTGTTGAGCACGACCAGCAGGAGAACGAGCAACAGGAGAACGAGCAGCAGGAGAACAAGGACGAGGACGAGGGGGATGGCGAGGCCCCAGAGGATGACTGCATGTGCTGAGACCGTGATCATACAATCATGGTGATGCCATCATACAATCATGGTGATGACACCATACAATCATGGTGATGACATCATACAATCATGGTGATGACATCATACAATCATGGTGATGACATCATACAATCATGATGATGACTGTAGAGCTGTGTGCTAGAATGAATTGATACTGTGTGGGTCGCACGTGTGATGGCTGTTTTCTAAGTGGCTTAACCCTCAGGATGAGACATGATTATAATGTTATGGTCTTGTACTTGTAGTCGTATTCGTAGCGGAGTGGTGCACTGTGCAAGATAGTGTTGGGTACTTGATGGAGTGTGGCTGCTGTTAGCATACCTGTGTGTGTGTGTGTGTGTGTGTGTGTGTGTGTGTGTGTGCGTGTGTGTGTGCGTGTGTGTGTGTGTACACTCGCGTGAGTACGAGTGTACGGCTGTGCGCGCGTGTATGTGTGTGCATGCGCATACAGCATATTCATTGTTCAGGAATCTTTTACTTCAACAAAGTGACCGCAAGCTAGCTGCGCGTAACATACATGTATGCCATTTCTTTCCTTTCAGTCACACAGTGTGAGACACATTCACATTGTCAAGCACTTTGCAGAGATATCATACACTGCTAGTAGTAATAATACTACTCCCCGACCAATGAATGCTTCTACTGCTACTCATGATAGTTATTTGTGTCTATTTTTTTCTTGTGCGAAATGGACCTGATATTCGTGCAGTTCAGGAAATAATATTATAATAATTATTATTTAAGTTATGATCATGATGGATTCATTGCCGGAGATATGGCTATATTGGCCCGTGTCAAATAGCCACCACAATGAAGCATGAAACGCCAGATCAATCTCATTATTCCCGTAGGTATGCAACAGACGTCTTGATGAGTGGCACCGTGCGCGTTGTTGTGTATCGGTGTGCGCGTTTGCATGTGTGTGTGTGCGTGTAATCAATGGTGCCAGTGAAGTTTATAATTATCAGATCCACTCTGATTAGCCACCCTCACTAGTAGCAAGCCATTACTGGTGTCAGGGGTAACTGCAGTTGGATCCCGGGACGGATACCCTGATGCCGCCAATCCTTTTTCTGCACCTTGTCTTCACCCACTTACTGAGGTGTGGCGAGCCCGTAAGTGGGATCATTTCCAAGTCCACCCAGAGGTTGGGGATTTCAGGGTGTGTTGGCCATTGAGTGGTTCAATGGCCTTTAATTTGAGTCTCTCTCCCCACTTCAGGGGAGACTCACGTGACCAGTCCTGGCAGTGAGCAAGTACAGTGAAACCTGTCTAAGACGACCGCTCAAGGGACCTTCGAAACGTGGTCTTTGTTACCAGGTGGTCTCCTTATCCAGGGTCGTTTGACTGGAAATGGCATCCCTTGATGCTGATTCGAATGGTCTTGTAGGACAGGTGGTCGCCTTGACAGGTTTCACTGTACAGTGTGTATGTGAAGGCATCCAGGTGAGTTGTATACTAGTCTAGTACAGCAAAACCTGTCAAGGCGACCACCTGAATAAGGCGACCACTGAAACCAGGACCAAGGATACCACCTCCAGTCAAATGACCCTGGATACGGAAACCACCTGGTAGCAGAGACCAGGTTTTGAAGGTCCCTTGAGCGGTCGTCTTAGACAGGTTTCACTGTACTTGGTGCACAGTCCTCGACGCCTTTGGTTGGATTTCAACTGGCGCAACTGTACCAAGAACCCCCCCCCCCCCCCAACACACACACAATAGAAAGTGCAATGGACAGAAGGCAACGACTTCAATTCGTAGAGCTGGGCTTTCACGAGAAGGTAAACTAAAAGGGATACAGTCAACAGGGGAAAAAGACAACATGGCACTGGCGACACACTGCACAGGATTCGGCAACACCGATCCTCCACAGAGAAGCAGGAGGCTGTAATGTACACACACGCACGCACGCACGCACACACACACACACACACACACACACACACACACCGTGCCAGCAAGAGTATTATAGGCTCCCAGGGAGCTTATAATACTCTTGCTGGCACGGTGTGATCACCGTAGTGATCGGCCAAAGCAAGCCGGCAATGCAGGTGGTTGCTCAAGAAATTACTGAGTAATACTGGGGAGAGTAAGACACGCAGTGACTGGGGTTGAGTCAAGAAAGTAGAAAAAAATAAAGAAATGCGGGGGGGGGGGGGGGGAGAGACGGGAAGGACACGGTAAAAAATGTACAGTTGAGAATCATGCCTCTCAAGTGAATCATAAACAGCAGCCGACCGGCAGGGAAAAAGAGCAAAACAAAAGAGTATTCTTCAGTTCTCTGTTGGCAACCAGCAGTCCAGGACTATTGTGCAATAGCACAATGACATCATCACCAAGACCAATGACATCATTATTATCAGCTAGTGACGTGGCACTGCCGCTACTCATTACCAATAGTGTGCGACTTGATGCACGACGACATCATCATCATCAGACCACACACGATGCATTGTGTCATCCACACGGATAATGATGTAACACGAATACGTCACCCACATGACTGGCTAGCTGAGGTAAGGCAATGATGCAATCCAGAAACGGTAGTCGGCTGGTCGAGCATTGCAAGGCAGGTCACTCAGTAGTCATGTAGTAGAGAGTATGATAATGATAAGTGATAATGAAGTGATGATGATAAGTGATGATGATAAGTGATGATGATGATGAGTGATGATGATAAGTGATGATAAGTGATGATACGTGATAAGCGATGAGTGATGAGTATACACAGGCTAACACCACTACTTGGCATTGTAGTCTCAAGCAGCCAGATACCGTCCAGGTGATGACCACAGCGCACACACACACACACGCATACACCCACCCACACACGCACCGACACGCACTCACCCACACACCCACACCCACACACCCACACCCACACACTCACCACCACACACCCACACACACCCACACGCACTGGCTGCCATTACTCAAACCTCAACACGGGGGAAAACCAGCAGGACTACCAGTACATGCCCGGATCGTCGTTCATTCACCACCAGAATGATGATCATGTTGCCCCTGTGCATGTGGGCGCCTGCGCTGCGGGAAACGTTTCAACATCCGCCAATGTCCTTCTTGCCACGCTTGCGATGATAGCGTGTCTCCTGCGGGTCAAAGCCTTGCTGAACGCAACCAAACACAGCCCAGGCTGGGGTGGGCGCTACGTAGTCGAGGGCGCTGAACGTAGATTTACCACCGCTTGCCTCATACTCGCTCATCTGTATTGCGCACATCACGGAGAATGCCACGTGCACAGACGAAACAAACACACACACACACGCACATACACACATGCACACACACACCACACACACACACACACACACACACACACACACACACACACAAAACACACACACACACACACAAAACACACACACACACACAAAACACACAAACACACACACACACACACACGGGTGCTGAGGAGCTGAAACAAATTGTAGCTAGTAGTGTGCATGCCCGTGGCATGACAGCAAAGAAAGAAGATCACCTTCTGCTACGCAAAATTAAAACTCGGATACTGAGCCAGTAATAGGGGATGCACACTCACGGGGAAACCTGAGGTCACGGGACAAGGTAAAAGTTCAGACCTTCGGTCACCGGAAAGAGGAGAGAGAGTGGGGCCGCTCACACCCGTGGTCAGTTTTGCCTTGGCCGCATGTTTGGCCATGAATTTGTGGCGGAGCAATTGAAAAATAATCTGTACTGCATTTTTGTAGTGCGTTCTGCACTATATTTTGCATTCGCCATGCATGATTTTCCGATGGGCACTGTCTGAAAATGAAGGTTGCGATGCACCCGTACAACTACGGGTTCAGAGTTCTCGCCAAAGACAGGATCTACACATGCGCGTCTCATAGCCATGGGATTTTTCCCATGACAAACGCCCTGAGGCCCACGGCCACGGCTTTGCCAATTTTTTCCCCGAGAGGTTCTTCCTTTCCCCCAGTACCATATTTTCCATAACAACTTTCCCATCACCGTGGTTTTACCCGTGTGTGTGTGTGTGAATCCCCTATAATAAAAAAATGTAAAAAAGAGAAGAAACGCTCTGACTATTTATCATCTTGTTACAGTCGTGGATAGTTGCTGCAGAACTCGTTCTCATGTGTTTCTTCTCTTTTTTTACCTTCTTCCATAGCATTCAATTCATTTTCTGGTACCGCGTATGGCTATGTACTGGTGCGACACGTGTGTCGTTGCACCCCCCCCCCCTCCATTGTTTCAGGTGTAAGTGCAAGGCACAGCATGAGTACAGTGCAGCAGGTCAGATACGCAGCCACGCACTGCACTGTCCACCCATGCACTGCACTGTCCACCCACGCACTGCACTGTCCACCCTTTCAGGCTGGTTGTGGCGAGTGTGCTGTGTTGGTTCAGGGCGAGCGCACCGCTCCTGGGCTCGCATTTCCGTTCCCACCACTGCAACACTGCCAAACCTGAAAGTCTAAAGGCCGATTCACAATACAACTTCTTGCGACGCGACCTGCGACGAGCTGCGACAGCGACACTCGGTTCACAATTCTTTTCATGTTTGCGACATCCTTATACACTAGTAGGACTATGCACGTGCACTGTACGTGCACCCAGGGTCGAAACTGTACTCCATTTGTGTATGTCGCGTGTCGCATGTCGCAAAAGTTGAACTTTCTTCAACTTCTGCGACGGGTGCCTTGCGACTGCACGCGACAGGCAGTTTCTTGTCGCAACTGTCGCAAATTGCGTGTCGCGTCGCAGAAAGTTGTATCGTGAATCGGCCTTAACGTGTGAACGGCCAATTTTTTCTTCCTTTTTTGAAGAAAGGTTATCGCGAACCCGGTTTAAGATGTCTGTGTAAAGATGCGCCTACAGATGGCTTCTATTCGAACCACAAATCTCTATTGAACTCGGGATGGTGAGCCAAGGATTACAAGAAGAAAGGACCACAGGTTTACAGGTTAACCGTAGATGTCGAACACAGGCAATTACAAGCTCGATTGCTTGATACGGCTGTTGGCATGCGTATTCAAGACGTCATTGAGCTAAATGTCAGATCGTTGAATGGCAGTAGCATATCAGCCATTATTACGCTAACTGTTGCACAGTATGATTCATCACACTAACAAGCTTATAACTGCCAGTGTTGGACAACTACGGCTAACCGCTACTTCAAGTAACCTTTTGTTCCTTCCTTCTTAACATATCCCTACTAGTATCTAGGCCAATACTAACCAGGATTATGAGGCAAAATGTGCTGATCTTAAAAATCTATAGTAAAGAAAAAAGGACCAAGAAACTACAAGTTCCGCTATGATGTCCACTAACATCACCAGTTACTGGTAACTTGTAGTTTCTTGGTCCTTTTTCTTTACTATAAATTTACCCTTGGCTCTCCATCCGCAGAGTCCAATCTTAAAAATCAGGATTTTATTCAAAACCGGCTTCTATACGAGACAGGATTTTACACAAGACACTACGCTAGTTTGAGAGTCTGAGACAGGTGCGGGGAGATGGCAAACCCGCTGTGCATTCTTCTTCTGTGTTCAATGATGTCGCGGAAGAGTGTCGTGATGGAGCACGAAATCTCGTTGGCAGGCCGCGCCTTTGAGACAACTCCGTAACCTCCATGACAAGTGTACATAACCCCGCTCTAGTTAAAGATATCAGTCTGTTGCAGTAATAGAAATGACCAAGCGCCACAGAGTTTGCATGATTTGTATTCAACCATGCATGTTGACGTGTGTGTGTGTGTGTGTGTGTGTGTGTGTGTGTGTGTGTGTGTGTGTGCGTGTGTGTGCGTGTGTGTGCGTGTTTGTGTGCGTGTGTGTGCGTGTTTATTGACCTGAAGAAGGCCAACGACTCGATTCCCAGGCAAGCTTTATGGTCAGTACTGCAGCGCATTGGCGTTCCCCCCAACATGCTGAGTGTGATCCGTTCCCCCCAACATGCTGAGTGTGATCCGTTCCCCCAACATGCTGAGTGTGATCCGTCCCCCCCCCCCCCCCCCAACATGCTGAGTGTGATCCATTCACTACACGATGGGATGATGCTAGAGGTCCTGGCAGAGGGTGGTCGAAGTGAGGCATTCTCTGTGACCAATGGTCTACGGCAGGGCCGTACACTGGCACCAGTCCTCTTTAACATCTATTTTTCGGCGGTGGTCACACACTGGCGCTCGGAATGCCGGATGCTGGCGTTACCGTCAAGCACAAGCCTGGGCGTAGACTCGTCGGTGATCGCACCGCAAAGTCGCGGCTACTTCCAACCCGTGTCACTGAGACACTTTTTGCCGACGATGCTGCAGTCTTCTCCACCACCCAGCAAGACTTCGAGACTTCTCCACGTCTGTGCGTCAGTGTGTGTATGCTGGTTTAGTGTATTGCTTTTGCTTTTGTTCGACTGGAGAAGTGGCCACCACGATTATTCCACGTGAAAGGTCCATATGGAGCACTGGTGGGAAAATGGCAGGATTAGTTATAGGCAGCTTGCTACTGGTTGCAGTGTTTGGACGTGTTGTTGTAACACTGTCAAAGAGAAAGTCTCCTGGACTGAGGTAAGTTCAAGTAATTGCAGTACTCCGTCCATGTCTCTTTAACACGTGCAGCACTGGTGGGGAAATGGCAGGAATAGTGATTGGAACCTTGCTACTGGGTGCAGTGTTTGGACGTGTTGTTGTAACACTGTCAAAGAGAAAGTCTCCTGGACTGAGGTAAGTGCAAGTTACTGCATTACTCCGTCAATGTCTCTTTAACACTTGCAGCGTTAAGTCATTGATGATATTTGGGCTACATCAGTGATCCGTTGTGTGAAATAAAACAGTCAGCCTTGCTGTATCTGAGATAATTTTGTGATACCTGCATGCATCATCGAACTTCTTACGACTGAAGCTTGCTTTACAGCAGTGACATTGTACTTGGACCTGCAGAAAGGAGATGACTGTGTTCACTCGTTTGTGGTGCAAGGGTTTCTCTCTGCGGTACCCGCGCAGACAGTGGTGCGCGCATTGCTCTCTGGGTTTGGCCAACGCCGTGCGAACAGTCCTGTCGCCAGAACCCTCACAGCCCACCCATAGATCTACATAGATAGCAGTGCTGAACTGAGTCGGTGGAGTGCTGCGACTGACAGAGTCGCCTTCCGGCGTGTCGTACAGTCATTCGTTGGTCCTGCTCCCCCTTGCCAGCAAGAATGGGAGCGAATGTTGGCGTCACCGTCAAGCACAAGCCTGGGCGTAGACTCGTCGGTGATCGCACCGCAAAGTCGCGGCTACTTCCAACCCGTGCCACTGAGACACTTTTTGCCGACGATGCTGCAGTCTTCTCCACCACCCAGCAAGACTTCGAGACTTCTCCACGTCTGTGCGTCAGTGTGTGTATACTGGTTTAGTGTGTTTCTTTTGCTTTTGTTTGACTGGAGAAGTGGCCACCACGATTATTCCACGTGAAAGGTCCATATGGAGCACTGGTGGGGAAATGGCAGGAATAGTCATCGGAAGCTTGCTACTGGTTGCAGTGTTTGGACGTGTTGTTGTAACACTGTCAAAGAGAAAGTCTCCTGGACTGAGGTAAGTGCAAGTAACTGCAGTACTCCGTCCATGTCTCTTTAACACTTGCAGCACTGGTGGGGAAATGGCAGGAATAGTGATTGGCAGCTTGCTACTGGTCGCAGTGTTTGGACGTGTTGTTGTAACACTGTCGAAGAGAAAGTCTCCTGGACTGAGGTAAGTGCAAGTTACTTATCCCGTTATCGGCCCTCTTAAGAGTTGTGTATATCACTGTTGAGGCATCCGATGGTAAATAAAATGAATACTACCGCATTACTCCGTCAATGTCTCTTTAACACCTGCAGCGTACTAGTCCTTTACAAGCCGTATATCTAACGAGGTGCTATATCCAACGAGTTAACAAAGAGAGACCTGTCGTTAAAATAGAACGAGTTACGCAGAAATCGATCCACTTGTACTGTCGCCACGGAGGGTTGAGAGTGAGTGAGAATAAACTTATACCAAGAGTACATAACCCCCCAGAGTGTGCAACGCCTGATCAAGCTCTGCATAGGGTCTTGGTCGAGCGTAATCGGATCTTCTGATGTCATGCATACGCTCCACACCAGCACAAGGCCAGTCTCGAGGCAAGGCACCGTTGTTTTTGATCCGAGAGTCTCCGCGACCCCCCCCCCCCCCCCGGTTCCTCTCAGATGTGTACGGTATTATGAGGCAAATATCCGATTACGCTCGACCAAGACCCTATGCAGAGCTGGATCAGGCGTTGCACACTCTGGGGGGTTATGTACTCTTGGTTATACTGTTCCTAGTGAGCGTTGGGAACGAGTGGTTTAGTACACGCATATCGAGACGTTCTATTTGTGGTTCGTTGGTATCATAATATTATACCAACGAGCCGCAAATTATGCTTTCCAGTAGATGGGATGAAGCAAGGCTTACCAGTTGATGAAATTTAGGATAGTCGATCCACGTGTGCCATCTATTGTCAATCTTGAACTACGCACACACAAACAAATACACACACACACACACACACAGGCACACACACACACAGAAGCAGACACACACAGAAACAGACACACACAGGCGCGCGCGCGAGCGCGTGCTCACACACACACAGGCACGCACACACACACAGGCACACACAGGCACACATACACACACACACACACAGGCGCACGCACACACGCACACACACACACACACACAGGCACAGAAATGATGCTTTGACTACCGCTGCTTACATCACCACCAGTGCAGTGCAGCTCTCCTCATCTATCTAAACTACAGGGTTTGTGCGTGTATGTGTGTGTGTGTGTGTGTGTGTGGTGTGTGTGTGTGTGTGCGTGTGAGCCGTTCACGTCCCGCCGGACTCGCAGGGCCTCATGCCGCGTCCCGAAGACAGCATTCCTTCAAGTCGCCCCTTTTGGGGACACATAGCCTATCGTGGCAGTGGGCGAAGGAAGGAAGGAAGGTGTGTGTGTGTGTGTGCGTGCTCGTGGACTGGCCCCCGGCCGACTGCCCAGCAGCGTTATTCGTTCCCTCATGTATGCGTGTGTTCTCGCCGGTTCCGTTTGCTCCACCATCTCTGGTGTCATCAGGCTGCGTGCTCCATCCTCCTCTCTGATGCCCCTCCAGGGCCCACGTGACCCCTGTGGCAGTGGCTCTGCAGGACAGGTGTGTGTGTGTGTGTGCACGCGCGTTCATGTGTGTGTGCACGCACGTTCATGTGTGTGTGTGTGTGTGTGTGTGTGTGTGTGTGTGTGTGTGTGTGTGTGCACGCACGTTCATGTGTGTGTGTGTGTGTGTGTGTGTGTGTGCATGCACGTTCATGCATGTGTGTGTGTTTGTGTGCACGTGTTTGTGTACAAGTATCACTGACCTTCTTGTGGGCTACAAGCAAGCAGTTGGAATGCTCGTGTTCGCACGCAATCTCGTAGTCTGGCAACAGATCGGCTAGCTGTTGTACAAAACCCACGACCTGCAAACACCACACCACACCACAACACAACACACCACACCACAACAACAACAACAATAGCAATAATCACCGGCCATCGTGAGAATAAAGATTTCAAACAACACCAAATTCTGTAGGAATTGGATCTATTTCTGATGAGAAAGCACGTTCGCCTGTTCACTTGGTGAAGTAAAATGAAAGACAACACCAACAACACGTGCAAGGTATATTTCAACCGATTCACGGCGAGAAAAAAAAGAAAAAAAGAGTAAAAAGTGTGCTGTGACCAGGATTCGAACCTGGGTTACTACGGCCACAACGTAGGGTCCTAACCACTAGACGATCACAGCTTGCTACAGGAGCACACATTACTGCCCCGAGTAAATAACTGTCAAGACCTGATCGGCTGCTGTAAAAAGAGAGCTTCTGGCGCACGGTAAAATGTGTCAAAGTACGTATGGAATCCTCGTCGAGGTTCGAGACCAAGACGGATTTTTTCATACTGTGTGTGTGTGCGTGCTGTGTGTACAACAGAACCGGCACGACGTATGGAAATTGCGTGTCAAACTTCACCGCGGTTGACACACAATTTCATGACGACGGGCACACAGCTGCAGTTGACGTTTGAGTTCAACTTATTAGGCCCAGAACGTGACGCTCAACGCACACATGGACATGTACTCTTGACTTCCTTAATAACGACTGCGGATATAACGACAATTCGCGGATAACGACAGAATTTCCAAGCCCAGAGCAAAGTCCATACTATCTGTATACATATAATGAGACTTCGGGTATAACGACACTTCGCGAATAAGGACACGTTTCTGACGACCGGCCGAGTGTCGTTATACGCACACATGTACATGTAGTAGAAACTAGAAACTAGAAACTCTCTTAAAAAAAGAGAGAACAGTGGGTACCGTCGGAAACCTTGCCATCATGCCCGTAAACAAGAAAACGAAAACGAAAACGACAGCAAGTGCCTGTACCGCGCTTCTCAATGGGAATACGAGTCAAGTTTGCGCCCTGCTGAACCTGTTCACCATCGCATCCCAGTGTTCACAGGTCTAGGGCTGCACAGCGCCCCGCTGCACCAGTTCACCATCGCATCCCAGTGTTCGCAGGTCTAGGACTGCATAGTGCCCTGCACCAGTTCGCAGGTCTAGGGATGCATAGTGCCCTGCACCAGTTTACATCCCAGTGTTCACAGGTCTAGGGCTGCACAGCGCCCCGCTGCACCCGTTCACCATCGCATCCCAGTGTTCACAGGTCGAGGGCTGCACAGCGCGGCCCGGCCACGCAGCATGGATTTCCTTGATCAGATTGCATTCAGCAGCAGCAGCACTGTACTTAATATTGATCAATAGAATGTGAACGATACCATTGGGCTGTTCAACAAAGCAACAATCTCTCCTCCTCTTCTCCTGTGTTCTGCTTGTTCTTTTCTTGTTCTCTCTCCATTGCCAACTTGCATCTTCGTATGTATACATCTCCACCAAGAGGCTGTCGTTTTCGCTGGTGTGTTTTTACTTGTTTGTGCTAGGGAATTCCCAACAGGCGTCATCGCCTTTGTGTTGTGCTGGGCAAGGAGGGGTGGGAGAGAGAGAGAGTAGACAGCTCCAGTTCTCCCACAGGGAATGCACTCTCAGCCGACACATGGCAACCCTCGGTAGCCATTACACATAACAACAATCCCAAACAATGAAGGGGTTACGGCCCTTACGGGTACTTGAAGGCTGAGAGCGGCGCACGGAGGAGAAGAGGAGGAGAGATAAGTCCATTGCGCAATGCTTTAATTTGTACCATAAACACCCCACACAGCCACCTGGGCATGGTCGTCTGCGGTGTTGAACAGTGCATTGCTGATCCCAGCGTACTCACATGTATTTTACTCATACATTCCATCAAGAGTACATGAAAACCAGAGTGTGCAGCTTGGGGCCTTCTCTGCTATGGGTGTCTGTCACGGCGGAATTCCGTGATTACATCATTTTGGTGCAGATCTGAGGCGGGAAATGGCGTAGTGCGTGCAACTGAGCTGCAGTTGTGCAGAAAGAGACCTGCTTGAATCCTGCTTGTACGCACTGCACCACTAAAATGATGTAATCACGGAATTTCGCCGTGACAGCAACCCATCCGAGCTGCACACTCTGGTTTTCATGTACTCTTGATTCCATATTTGGCAATGCGCAATGGGCTTATTACAGACCTGTAGACTGTAGAGTGACTGACCTCTTCATGCCACGGTACGTTCTTCATGGTCAGAGTGGAAGCTTTAGAATCTCCACAGTACGTCACTCCCTTCACCTCGATGAAGTCCGGGTTGCCGCGGGCAACCAGACTAGCGTAGGCCTGCATCTCCTCCGTGTTCCAGCCGGACACCAGCGTCAGACGGTAGACTGTGCGCTGACCCTGTTCAAAGTAACAAGACATGGTGGTGCACGGCAGTGTGTGCAGGCAATACAGCACATGCACATGCACACATACACACACACACACACGCACACACACACACACACGCAAGCACACAAACAGTAAGTGGGGATAGAGGTACTTCACGGCACAAGTGCAGTCCTGGCCAAAGAAATTCAACCTCATGAATAAAATACCACCGTGCATGACGCGGCCCGAGCACTACACACACACGCACGCACACACACACACACACACACACACACACACACACACACACACACATACACACACACACACACACGCACGCACACACACACACACACACACACACACACACACACACACACACACACACAACCATGCTCTGTTTCAACTCCACCGACAGTGACACCACCTTTTCACCCTCATGACTATGTCACGGCCGGGGGGGGGGGGGGGGGAGGAGGCTACTCAGCCCAAGCGCTACACACATGCACTACCATGCACAGTTTCAACTCCACCGACACTGGCACACACCTTGTCCGATAGCGCTTGTAAACTGTCCAGGAAGCGTGGCCAGAAGTCACGGAACAACGGCCGGTCGATTTTCTTCAGCGACTCCTTAGTGCTGGCGTCGATGCTCACGTACAGCTGTGTAACTGGTACCAGGTTGCTAGGGGCAACAACAACAACACACACACACAAAGACACATAGAATTGCATTCCACGTAAATGAGCTGTGATGATGGTGGTCTAGTGGTGCTACCAGAGCCTGATTGGTGTCACTTTCCACCAGAATAGAGTTTGTACGGTTCACAATTCCACATCTGTGCTCACGGCGTGTACAAACCGAGTACAAAACAAGAACACGAGTACAAAATTAGTACAAAATGAGTAAAAAACGAGTACAAAATAATTACAAACGAGTACAAAGAAAGCACAAGCATGACACTGTAAAAGCCATTATTCTAACGAGGCGCATATATAACCATTTCCTAAAATTGACTGGTCTACGTGTACGATTTTTCACTCAATCTCAATGCTCAATAGCAGCAGTATATGTACCGATTTCTGTATAACGATTCTATTTTAACGACAGATTTCTCCTCGTCAACTCGTTAGAATTAGCACTTCGTTATACGTATGGCTTCTACAGTAGCTGACAGTACCTATGGCTGATTCTGATCGCGAGCAGAGCAACACTTCAACTGCTACATTCTCACTTCTCAGGGTAGAATCAGTCATGTTGACATGTACATCCAGAGAATGCTGTTCATACATTCTATCTAGCTGCAAACAGTTCGGTCACATTTTTGCAAATCCATCTCCCACCTCCTCTCTAGACCATAATTCTCACACAGCAATCTCCCCTCCCCACTCTCTTTCTGCCCTCTCCTCTTCAAAGTCGTCTCCTTGTGAGAAGGCTCCATTGCCTGTTTGGTTCAACGACTATAAATAAAAGCCCAACAATGACACAACCAAGTCCTTATTTGCCGTTACTCAGCGTTTCGACTATCACGTAAAAAAGCCCACGAAACTCTGAGCAACGGCAAATAAGGACTTGGTTGTACATGTACCATCAAGAGCTATTACCCCCCCCCCCCCCCCCCCCCAAGAGTGTGCAACTCCTGATACCCTTTCTATGGGGTACGCTGACGGCGAAAACTCACATCACGTGGTGCAGTGTCGTAGTTGTACGTTTCTAGCCCGTTTTTAGCGAGCAGCGGAGTAATAAAAAAAGCACTCTCCGACAGAAACTCACTGCGGGTATGCAAATTCCCCTGCAATGGGCCAGCATGATGTTCGGATTGCGCGCACGCTATCGTACAAACGTATCTGAGACACGCGATGTGAATTTTCGCCGTCGGAGACCCGTATGCAGAGTTGCACACTCTTGGGGATGATACACTCTTGGTACCATTAGTAGCTGCGTGAGAATTGCATTACAGTTGAACATCGATTATCCGCACATCGACTATCCGACCATTCGATTATCCGTAACAGTTTTTTTGGGCGCACGTGCCGTAGAGTACGCACTGTGCATGTAGTGAGCCATTCAAAAAATACGAAAATTTTGAAAAGTAAAAAGTAAAAAGGTCGTGCGGCTAGTAATAACCACTGAAAGTGTGTGAGTGACAGTTTTTTTCTTATCCGGAACATTTGCCTTATCTGAACACCGCCTGACAGTTGTCTGCCCAGAGGTGGTCGGATAATCGATGTTCAACTGTACTGGTTCTGTTCACTGGAGGGTTGTAGGAGGTGCAAGGGAAGAAAAAAAAAGAAAGAAGACGATAAAACCTCCAACAAACAGCGCAGCACACAGCACAGTGGCAGTTGAAGTCTCCATAAACAGACAAGGAAAAAAGAAAAAAAAAGAAAAAAGTGTGCTGTGACCAGGATTCGAACCTGGGTTACTACGGCCACAACGTAGGGTCCTAACCACTAGACGATCACAGCTTGCTACAGGAGCACACATCAAGTCAGCTGCATCATTGGAATCAAGTTCTCTCACACAGGCACAGATGTTTGATGATGGCTGATTCTGACTCAAATCTGTTCCAGAGTGCATGTTTTAATATGTACACACACAATGATGTAATCGGAACTGGTCCAGGGCGGCAGTTCTGCACGCCGGGTCGGATTTCAGTGAGCGCAACTGTAGCTGACCGTGCAGTGTGCAGTGTGCAGTGTACAGTGGCAAACCTGTGTGAGCAAGACATGATTGTACACTGGTGTAGGGACTGGTAGCGTATAGCTGAGATGGGGATTCATTGGGCAGCACCACCAGCACCAGCAGCAGTGAGTACGTTTGATTATGCCCGCGAATCGATTCATGAATCGATTCGCGCTATTCACATCACCCCGTGTGAATAGGGTGAATGGATTCCGAATCGATTCCAGGGCTCATGACATGAACATCGAACTGCAAGATTCCATTCATGAATCGATTCAAGTGCGTTATCGAACACACTCGGTGTGTGCATAGCTTACCGAATAGCATCGGGGAACTGAGCGTTGGTGACGAGGAAAGTGGAGATCATCTTCTTGTGCAGTAGGCGACACAGCTCGTTGATTTCCGGATACATGATTGGTTCACCTGTAATAGACACACCGACACACACACCACTCATGAATACATGCACAAGTGCACGCATAACAAGCTAGGCAGCACACTTCTCCGTGTGCTGCAATATAAACTTCAGAAGGAAAGCTTGAAAAGGGTTTGCTCCCCACACTGGAGCTCGCACTATTCCGCCGACTTGACACGTGAAGGAAAGCTTATGTGTACTATAGAACGGCTATTAAATGTAGCGGGTAAACGTTTCAGCGTTTCTGAATCTGGACCAACTCACGATGAAATATTCTAGCGATCCGAGTTTCACACTTTAAAATGAAGGATGTACGAGTGTGGTTAACATGCACATTTTTCGATTGGCGCTGCAAAACTTAAAGGGGAACTGTCACCAAAATTTTTCTTTGTCTTATCTTGTGGTTCTTTGGCTCCTGATCACGATGGTGTTATCCGTTTTTCTCTGCGATGGCTGGAAGTGGGTGAAAACTTGAAAAGAAGGTGCCCAAAATTGTCCCGAAGTACCGAGTGACGTCACGCCGGACTTGACCTCCACGCGTACATTCATCGTCAAAAACGAAGTCCAGCTCGTGTGCTGGTCGATCGAGCTAGCTGTTCCAATGTACGGTGCACGTGTGCCTTTTGAACTGTAACACAGATGGGTACGTCGTACCGAAGGAGAATGCCAAAGAGGCAGAGACCCACGTGCAGCTACACAGCCGAATCAAAATATAAAGCAGCTGAGCTTTCACCTTTTCACTTCTTCCGCGAGGATCTAAGTTTTATTTTGTGAGCACGGCCGGAAGTACGTCGTTGTTTTGAACTTTTCGTATGAGGAACAACACGATGATGAGTGCGTATGCAGAAAACAGTACTCCTCCGGCCGGCGATAACACCACCAACCCGAGCCCCAAAGGAACGCAGTGTAGGTACGTGAAGGCGATTCATCTGGCGATGTTGCTGAAGATGCAGATGACAAACTCGGACGTCTTTCATTTCAGAGCCGGTTGGGCAACACCGCCACCTTCAGCTTCGATACAACGACATCATTTTCAAGCACGAGGTATGTGTGTCACACTAACAGAAAACAATCATCCTTCTACTCCTTCGTAATCACAAATAAAACAAAGAGCTGGAGCTTCGTGGAGGAAGTACCAGTGCGACAAACTGCTGTCGACTTTTGTTTATTTTGTCCCTTTTCGGCGTTCTCATTGTGTACAACGTACACATCGAGTGTCCGAGTTCAGAAGGCAAGCGTGCACCGTACATCGAACAGTTGGCTCGATCGACCAGCACACGGGCTGGACTTCGTTTTTGACGATGAATGTACGCGTGGAGGTCAAGTCCGGTGTGACGTCACTCGGTACTTCGGGACAATTTTGGGGACCTCCTTTTCAAGTTTTCACCCACTTCCAGTCATTGCAGAGAAAAACGAATAACACCATCGTGATCAGGAGCCAAAGAACTACAAGATAAGACATAGAAAATTTTTGGTGACAGTTCCCCTTTAAGCGAAAACACTCCTTTCGCTAAAGTCACTAAAATATCGCCGTTGCTAAAATTAGCCGTTTACAGTGTGGCAAAATACAAGCAGGGAATACAGTCTCATGAGCAGAATGTTCAGCAGAAGAAATGAACTCACCGACGAGTGACAGAGCGCAGTGCTGGATGTTATGTGCCTCAGAGAAACGCTCCGGTTTTACACCGGGAACACCTGACATGCAAGCACACATACACACACGAACACACATGCATGCACACACACACACACATACACACGTACACACACGTACACACACACGTACACACACACGTACACACACACGTACACACACACGTACACACACACGTACACACACACGTACACACACACACACGCACACACACACACACCAACATACACAGAGTCGGAAAAATACACAAGGGCAAGAATTGAGGTCCCCTTTCGTCCACTTGTCAAATCACACAAAACTTCCCTAGCATAACAGCAAAAGATGTAAGATCCTAGCTGTCAAGTCATTGCCTCTTGTTAGTCATATTTATTGAGAACGTCAGAAAATCAGATTGATGAAGTCCTCACCTCTAAACTGCTTGATCATCTTGTAATGGCTGAGCATTCCTTCTTCAACAATCATTTCCGGTCCGTCCATCTTCCACCGCCATTCTGTGCCCACAGGATTGGTGTGATGTCTGCAAGGTGTGAACGAGACGCAACAAGCATCACATCACGTCATGCAATGTGTTCCAAGTGAGATTGTTCTCGATATGGCAATGGTTCAGAAATGAACACTACCATCACCATCACCATCAGCAAGAGAGAGAGAGAGAGAGAGAGAGAGAGAGAGAGAGAGAGAGAGAGAGAGAGAGAGAGAGAGAGAGAGAGAGAGAGAGAGAGAGAGAGAAAGAGAGAGAGAGAGAGAGAGTGACGGGAGAGGGAGAAAGAGAGAGAGAAAAAACAGACACACACACACACACACGCATACACACACATGCATTTATCATGGAAAGGGGAGAGTACGGTAGTTACCTCCAGCAGAAGACACACTTGTTAGCGCATGCCAGACTTGGTGTGGCTTCCATACATTGATGACTCTGAATGCCGTACATAGTATGCTTGTAGCAACCACCACGTCCACGCATCATGGACTGTAGTGCATGGACAGATACATACACACACAGACACACGCATACCGTATTTTCCCCAATAAATGTACAGTCCTTTTATTTCTTCAAAGGTGGTCTGACCTGTACTACTATAGGAGACTGTACTAGCAGAGGAACGATGCCAATGTCAAGTGTGCACGAGCTCACTGAAATCCGACCCAAAGTGCAAAACTGATGCCCTGGGACCAGTTCTGACTACATACCTAAACGTGTACATGTGAACCACTTCCAGGGCATCAAGGGCAAAGCAGACTCACACGATTGGACTTCATTGTGCAACACCGTACATGTCGGCTGCACACCATCCCCTCATTCTCACCTTTGTCCACCTACACAATTTCACGCCGGAATGACTGCCGACAATTTGATAACCTGCAGATAGGGAGCGTGCACAGAATACGCACGTTTGCACAAGGAAGTGTAGCGCACACACGCACACGCATACACACACACGCACACACACACACACACGGAGTTACAGGTCGGGTGGCTGATAGAGAAGAGTCGAAGTTGTCCACCCGCCCACCCACCCGCCCACCCACACGCCCACCCACACGGCCACACTCACACACATACACACACACACTGACAAAGTAGAGAATGGCAGTCCTGCCCAGAACCCAGTCACTGACACTATACAAGGTTGCTACTATATACACTACACACTGACAACGTAGAGAATGGCAGTCCTGCCCAGAACCCAGTCCCTCACACATACTATACACTGACAACGTAGAGAATGGCAGTCCTGCCCAGAACCCAGTCACACACACACATACTATACACTAACAACGTAGATAAAGATCATGCTGTGGCAGTAGCTAATAACTCACCCTGTTTGGTCACCCTGTTTGGTCAGTGCTTTCCTCAACATGGGTGTAACCATCTCTCTACTACTAACTCACCCTGTTTGGTCAGTGCTTTCCTCAACATAGGAGTAACCATCTCTCTACGCTCTGCTGCCTTTCGACCACCGATAGATTTCAGTGCCACTTGCTGGTCAGCTGCTTCCTCTGCGGCGCGATCTTTCTACAATGGTACAGCAACGATGGCAACAAGAACAGTGGCGACAATTACGCCAAGAACAAGAACAAGAACAACAGCCACGGTGACAGCAAAATCGAAACAAGAGAATTAGCATCATCAGCAGCAACATCAGCATCAGTGGTTCAGAGCAATACTGTACAACATGCAATTTTAGGTGTATTTTTTCGGTATCAGGGACCTGCCAGGTTTCAGGTGTAATGTAGAATTAGGTGACCAGTGTATCCTTCACATACAGTGCATACAATAGCGACTTTTAGGTGTAATCTAAATTTAGGTGCCTGGTTTCTCTACCGAAATTAAAATTACACCGAAAATAACATGCTATACAGTACATGGATAAGTGAAGGTCATGACCACCAGGAATAACATAGTGACTAAGTCATGGGTGTGGGCAACTGGAAACGTTCACTGGCACATGCCGAGCCTACATCTAAATATGGCACACTGTACATCCAATGCTGTAGGTACACTGTACATCTATAATTATAATAATTATGGTAAGCATACATGTACCCCCCCCCCCACACACACACACACATACGCACGCACACAGACGCACACACACACAGATACCCGATCCCCCCTCCTCCTACACACACACATACCTTGGCCTTCTTCATTTTCTTCACAACCTTTCCCATGTCCTCGAGATCAATCACACCGCCGTCCGTGTTCAAGCTGAGACCAGCGTCTTCATCAGCCAACTCCTCTTCATCGTCATCCTCTTCTTCTTCGCTTGTTGTTTCATACAACTCCTGGCCAGCAGCACCAGCAACCACACACAAAACAACACGAAAGCAAGCAAACAGAACCTTACCAACATGACCAGGAACTGCGGGACACACTTTTTATTTTTATTATTTTATTTTTTTAAACACAGCCTTAGTAATAATCAGGGGAAGAGGACAACTGAAATGACACTGGACAACAAGACAAAGGGGAGTAGGGGCGATGTGCCGATGTGGTTGGCGAGGCTCATCCGACCGGAGGTCTCGGAATCATAGCCTACGACCAGGCATCGATAGGAATGCAGCTAGGGAGGGAGGGAGATCAAGTGAGAAAGAGAGAGAGAACACTGTACTCAATCTAGCGGAGATGGAGAACGGGAAACCTGCGACGTGATAGGACGGGGAAAGTCCCTAAAAGCTCGTACACAAATCTCTAGCTAGTGGTTAAGTGAATGTTGAGACTGGTGACACGACTCAGATGGACTACCGTAAATCTATAAATGTTCAGCTTGTTTAAATTTCAGCCTCCGAGGGATAAAACACATTTCGGCCGCATTGAAATTTCCGCCCGTACTGCTGATGCCTGTATGTATTATCACACTGCACCTTGCAACCAACATTTCAGCCGCGGCGAAGTTTAGGCCTCGAAGGCCCAGGCCGAAAATAGCTGAAAATGAATACTGTAGTGTCGTGCATAAAAGTGCGACCCGTATAGAAGCATGACTCGAATAGAAGCCGATTTTTCGAAGCGCGCCGTGACACAGAAGCACGATTTGAATAGAAGCCGCTCTCTGCAAAGTACACATGCAAGTACATGCGTGGCAGTATGCACTGCACAGTGTACACTGACTACGTTGACATAGAAGCATGTTTTGAATAGAAGCATGGTTCGAACCCCGGCTTATACGGTCGCGAGCACCTGCTTTTATGCGCGACCTAACGGCATGCAAAAATGCACCCATGAATATGAGCTGACTGTTTGTTGACTAACACGTGAAGCACAGAAGCCACGGAGAGTTTGACAAGGCCTTTCGTACCATTACTCTTCAATTTTGTTACGCATATTTGTGGACTGACAACATTTTATTTTTATTTCATGCTTGCTCCAGACAATGTCCATACTACTAAGCAAGAGTCTGTCATACTACAGTCGGTACTCATTTTAAAAGTGAGTTCCACTGTACGTCAATTGGTTGACTCTTTTCATGGCAGGAGGCAAGCCAAAGGGGAAACTCCCCTCGCCAGGTGCAATTACCTCATCTTCATCGTCAGGCTCGGCACAGCCACCACAATCGGCACAGCCACCGGCATCGTCACCACCACCACCGCACGCACCACTATCACCGCTTCCCGCGCCACACGTACAGCTGCCTCCGCACGATGACGACGTGGCCTGTGGTGATACCGCAGCGCTTGCTGATGATGACGGTGATGTGTTCTCGGCGGTCGTCTTGCCTGTCAGTTGCGCAACGAGACCTTGTGCCCATACATCAAAGTCAGCCTCCAAGCCTGGAGCATAGACACATATTGACAAATGAAATGCGAGAAAGTGTTAACAACACAATCATCAACACAAAGGTGGTTTATACAGTCCACATTGTGAGTCAGGCCATACTGTAATCCCAGTCACACATCAATACAAGTGTTTGACACAACAACAAGGAATGTGTGTGTGCGTGCGTGTGTGAAACGACGTGCCAAATTCTGTGCTCGTATCCTCACTTGAACTTCCTGACATTCGCTATCATTGAGTACGCAATGGGCAAGATCAAGGTGTGTGTGCGTGTGTGTGTGCGTGTGTGTGTGTGTGTGTGAGAGAGAGAGAGAGAGAGAGAGAGAGAGAGAGAGAGAGAGAGAGAGAGAGAGAGAGAGAGGGAGAGAAAGAGAGAGAAAGAGAGAGAAAGAGAGAGAAAGAGAGAGAGAGAGAGAGAGAGAGAGAGAGAGAGAGAGAGAGAAAGAGAGAGAGAGAGAGAGAGAGAGAGAGAGAGAGAAAGAGAGAGAAAGAGAGAGAAAGAGAGAGAAAGAGAGAGAGAGAGAGAGAGAGAGAGAGAGAGAGAGAGAGAGAGAGAATACACACATACCTCCATGCGCACTCTGTGCAACATTCTCATCACCAAAGCCACGCTTGTAGAGACGAGAAGCTGAGAGCTGCGCAAGCTGACGATCCACTCGGATGCTGATCTGTACGTCAAGCAAGGCGTACACACATATACATGTATATACAGATGAGTGACGAACATGCATGCACATTGGACAATTCTTCAAAAATTCCGGGCAATTCATCAAAATAATACCGTAAAAGCCCGTGTATAGGCCCCGGGCGTATAGAATAGCAGGGTTGATTTCCTGGTCGTATACAAGGTCACAGGCGTTATTTTGGAACCGGGCGTATACTTGGAATAGGGATAGCAGTAAGTATTGGGTATCAGTACCTGTACATGTACTGGTGTTTCCGGCATACCTGGGCGTATACATGGGCATGGGCGCTATTTTGAAACAAAAGTGTTGTCTTCCCCTGACTGGGCGTGTACACGGAGGGTGGGCGTTATTTCGAGTGGGCGTATACAGGGGCTTTTACGGTATTATGATTTGA